TATACCCAATTCGGCACCAGCAGCTCACGTAGGGCTTGCACATTCCGCACGCACTGCTCACCCGCCACCCCGCACGCCGCGCATCCGTAGCGGCGCGGGCCCGTGGCCACCCAAGAGCTCACTGTACCTCTTCCGCACAGACGGCATGAGTTGCTCGCGCGAGCTGGTCACGGGTGAGCGCAATGGCGGGCTGACGGGGACGCCGGGGGCGCTGGACCCTGCAGGCGGCCAACCAGCACGCGCTGGCTGGTCTCGGCGTGCCGGGCCGAGCACAAGCCCACCTGTCATTCGGGGACCCAGCATGGCGGCTATTAGAACCCTGCAGATTGATAAGGCGCGTAAGGCTGAAACGCTTCACGGGGCGGTACCCAAAGCATGCGCAAACCCCGTCGCCCGCCTGCCGCTGCCCAGGCACCGGGCGCATCACGTTCACGCACCCGACGACACAGCAGCAGCTGCTGGTGTGGCGCGACCGGCCCAAAACAGCCATGGTTATCAAGAAGCTGGGCAGGGAGCTCAACAAGCACTTTTTCCAGGTGTGGTGGCCCGACCACGGGCGCCTGCTCGGCTGGGGCAGCGAGCGCATGTGCGCCCAACAACCTCATCCTGTAGTCGCGGGCAGGCGGCTGCCATGCGGCCGGCCATCACGGCGCTGGCGCCGTTCATATGGCGGCTGGGTGACACCCAGTTTAAGGCCCCCGGTCCCATTCTACTTCAAGTGGCAGTGAGCACACCCGGTGGCAGCATGGCGCAGCAGGCCGCAGCAGGTTGGAACCGGTGGCAGCAGGTCGCAGCAGGCCGCAGCCGGCCGCAGCACGCTGCAGCAGGCCGCAGCCGGCCGCAGCCGGCTGCAGCAGGCCGCAGCAGGCAGCAGCAGGCCGCAGCTGGCACCACCGGCCGCCTGCCACCCCGCGCCGCCCCCCTCGCCCAAACAAAACCCCGCGACGCCACTACCCGCGCCTGCCCGCGGCGCCGCGCCGTGCCGTGGCCGCCCCCCGCCCCTGTCCCCAGGTGGTGCGATACCTTGGGGAGACGGAGGGGCTGCGGGTGATAGTGGAGCCGCCGATGTACGACGAGTGCCGCGCCAGCCGGCAGGTGGAGGGACCCTACCTGCACACGTTTGGGCCGCAGGAGGGCGAAAGGTACGCCGCAGGGCGACCGGGCGGCCCCAACAGCGTGGGGCGCCGGCGCGGGCGGGGCAGGGTTGGGCACGGCGCGTGCTTCGGGGTGTAGCTCAGCCACACGCAGCGCAGCTGGGGCCTGCGGCTGTGGGCGAGGGACCGGCAGGGCGGCTGCGCTGGCGGAGCCGCTGGGCGCTGCCCCTCAACATAGCGTGGGGCCGACACGCCTGCGGCGGCGCCGGCGTCCGCCCCTGCCCTCTGCCGGGCGGCCACGCCTCAACCTGGCTGCGCTTCTCCTGGCGGCACGGGCTGTCCCGGTCCCTCTGCGGGTTTTTTCGGCTGCATGCAGGTTGGGGGACCTGGTGGACTTTGTGGTGTGCCTGGGCGGCGACGGCGTGATCCTGCACGCGGCCTCGCTGTTCAAGCGCGCGCTGCCGCCGGTGCTGAGCTTCCACCTGGGCAGCATGGGGTTCCTGGCCAACAACGAGTTAGACAGCTTCAGGAAGGACCTGCGGGGGGTGGGTGGCCGAGGGGGGACGCTGGGGAGGCTGCATCGTGGTCGGGGCAGCGGGGCCGCGGGACGGCGGTCGAAAGGCGGCGGCGGGGCGG